ATTTATTCCTCTTTTCACTTTCTATTATCTTCTACTTCTGGTTCCTCAAGTATTCTTAGAATCTATCTTCACCCCCTGCATCTCATATCTCCTCTCTCCTACCCTCCTATGGGACATTCTTTATTTTTCTCTAGGCTGTTCCTGCTCTTTATACTCTTTAACCTCCAACCTCTTCGAGGTATCTTTTTGATGTTTTGAAGTTGTACCATCCGGCCCCAATTTTTAAAAAATGTTTCCATTTGATCGTCGTCCAAATGGTGTAACTCCTCCATCATATACTGTATGTATACTCCACTCTATTTATCCAATCCTTTATTTTGGGTGTATTTTGTATTTGCCAAAATTTAGGGATAAGTCCCTTATCTGCATTTATTACATGATATATTACTCTATTTTTATACTGTTTCGCTGAGGTTTCCACCATATTTAATAAACAAACCCACAGGTCCTTCGGTATTATTATCCCCAGAATCGCTTGTATATATTGGGTTTTTTCTTGCCAAAACATCTGTATTTTAGGGCACTCCCACCATATATTATTATTATACAGGATTTATTAAGCGCCAACAGTTTGCTCAACGCTTTACAAAATGAAGGTAGACATTACAGTTACAATACAATTTGGTACAAGAGGAAACAGAGAGCCCTGCTCGTTAGAGCTTACAATCTAGGAGGAAGGGGAAATATATGACATTGTTCCCTTCATCCTCCAACGGTGAAACTTCAGGTCATTGTTTATGTGCAATACTAGATGTGATATACCATCTAACTAAACATTTGTAATTAATTTCTACTGTGTTCATGTTAATCGCCCCATGTGTTAAATTAAATATTTAATTTTTTTGTTGCTCGTTCAGTTTTGTTCCTAATGCCTTTTTCCACTTTTCTAAGTACAATGGAGGGTTACATTCAGCTAAATCAGTAAGAATTTTATAAATTCTAGACGTAACATGTTTTTGAGTTGTATTTTAACTAGACATTCGTTCAAATGGATACATATCCTCCACTGTCCTCAGTAGCTGTGGGAGCGCTGCAACAAAGTGTCGCAATTGATAGTAACGCCACTCATCTAATGTGAAAAATAAATCTTTCCGGAGATATTACAAACAGTAGGGGAGGGAGTGGGCATCCCTGTCTTTTTCCATACATTTTAAAAATCTCTGATGGGGACCCATTAACCTTCACCGCTAATGATGGGCAACTATATAGCCTTTTTATCCACTGTAACATTTTGGGCTCAATACCTAGTGACTCTAATGTGTCTATCATAAATCCCCAGTCCACCCTATCAAATGCTTTTTCGGTGTCAATCAACAAAATTATCGTCGGCTTCTTTTCTTTCCCTACTTTTTTCAGAAAGAGTAACGATCTTAGTCCATTATCCCAGCCTTCTCTACCTGGGATAAATCCCACTTGATCTGAGTGTATCCAGTCAGGCATCAACTCTTTCATCCTTGTAGCTAATACTTTAGCATATAATTTTGTGTCAGTATTTAATAATGATATAGGTCTGTAACTGGTGCATTGTGTCCAATCTTCCCTTTGCTTAGGTATAACTGTTATATATGTCTGCAGTGACTCTTCCCTCATTTCCAACCCTTTTCCTAACTCATTCATATACAGTATGTACACAATTTTGGGACAAGTTGTACTTTAAATTTCCTATAATAACCCACAGTGTATCCATCTGGTCCGGGACTCCTTCCTACTGCCATACTCTTCAATGCGATAATAATTTCCTCCTGTGATATTGGTTTTTCTAAAGCTAATAATTTTATTTCTTCCAATCTTGGTAGGGTGGCATCCTTTAAATAGGTCTGCCTTTTAATGCTTTTTTCTCCCTCTGATTCTTTCTGATTCTTAGCTTTTACTCCATATAGACTATTTTTTAAATGTGTTGGCAATACCAGTGATTGAATATACAATTTCTTCTGTTTCATCCTTAATTTTTTCTATAAATTTTTTGATTTCTTTTCCCTTGCTTTTCTCATAAGATATTTTCCTGGTCTATTCCCCCACTGATATCTTTCCTTGTGAAAAATCCTCCTCGTTTCTTGTTCCATAAGATCTTTTAGTTCTTCTCTTTTTACAGTTTTCTTATGTTGTGTATCCATATCTATTTTCTTTATGTAAGTGTTCTAAATCATATAATTCCTCCATTATTGACCTTATTTTCCTCCCTTGTTCTTTTTTTTTTTTTTTTTTCCGCCCCTATCAAGATCAGGATACCCCTAATATATGCCTTATGTGCCTCCCAAATTGTAGCAACAGAAATCTCATCTGTCTCATTGAACGTAAACTATTGCTCAATTTCCTTCTTCAATCTTTCTTCTACTTTTGAGTCTTGTAGAAGCATCTAATTTAATCTCCACATAGTTGTTTTATACCGCTCCCCTCCCACCAATAATCTCATTGTGAAAGGTACATGGTCAGATATAGACATACCAAGCGCAGAACAGAAGAAGGTATAATCTCTCTCTCTTGGATGTTTAACTCTCCAAGCGTCAATAAGTTGACATTAGTGCAACATCTTTTTAACCTATTTTAGAATTTTACCTCCCCTCTCTCTGCGCACGCGATGACGTATCTATTCATGGATCCATGCAGAAATTAAAATCTCCTGCCAAAATCAGGTTACCCCTCTTAAAATCATTACGTTTTCTTAGAATACCCTCTAGGAATGCCGCTGGGTTTATTGGGACGGTAGATGTTTGCTAATGTGCATTTCAGTCCCCGTAGCTTTCCTCTCAAAAATAAGAACTGACCCTCTGGATCCACCCTACTTTCTTCCAAGGTGAATCTTACATTTTTTGCGATCCCGATAGCAACTCCTTTTGCCCGTTTTTATTGGTGAATCAGCATAGTACTAAGTTGGATAATATCTAGAGTAAAGCTTCACATTTGAATCTTGAGATATACGTGTCTCTTGAAGGAAACACTACCTCACTAGAGTGTTGATGTATGCTCTGAGGATCTTATGTCTTTTAGTTGGAGTATTCAGCCCTATCACGTTGTATGTCTTAAAATTAATTGTACTCGTTTATAATACTATTCCTATTCCCATCTATGCTTCCATTTTGAGGGGATTGGATAAAACCAGTTTGGAACCAGAAAATTCCCCCCCCCCCAATCTACCCCTTCTCTTCCATCTGAGTTTCTAATTTAATAATTGATTGAGCCTGCACCTCCATTGTTCCCTCCATTTCTTCAACACAAGCTAATACTCGTTCCACATCGTTATGTAATAGCGCCATTTCCTTCTTCATGGAGTGCTAATTTTTTGAACATTTGTGTAATTTCCATTTTTTGTGGGCAGTTGTGACATTGCTCCTTGTTCTTCCATGTTGCCTTTTTCCATAACACTTTCCGTGGTTATAGGTTCTTTAATCTGGGTCCCACCTAGTGTCCTAAATGACAATTTGGTATGGTCTCCATCATACTTTCTTTTTTATTTCATGCTGTTTCTCCAGGGTTTGGTCCTCTGGGCTTTTCTCCAGTGGGGGAATATACTTTTTATGTATCCTGTCTGCAGTGTCTCACCTTCTCCTGTAGTATGTTTGTAGTCTCTATTCTTCTCCTGTCCACAGTCCCTGACTGTCTCCTGTAGTATGTCTGCAGTTTCTGACCTACTCCTGTATCATATCCGCAGTCTCTGTCCGTCTCCTGTATCCTGTCCTCAGTCTCTGACCATCTCTTGTAGTGTGTTTGCAGTCTCTGACCCTCTCCTGTAGTGTGTCCTCAGTATCTGACCTTCTCCTGTATCCTTTCCGCAGTCTCTTACCATCTCCTGTATTCTGTCCACAGTCTCTGACCTTCTCCTGTATCCTGTCCGCAGTCTCTCGCCATCTCTTGTTGTATGTCTGCAGTCTATGATTGTCTCCTGTAGTATGTCCGCAGTCTCTAACCATCTCCTGTATCCTGTCTGCAGTCTCTGACCTTCTCCTGTATCCTGTCTGCAGTCTCTAACCATCTCCTGTATCCGGTCCACAGTCTCTGAACTCCTCCTGTATCCTGTCTGCAGTCTCTGACCTTCTCCTGTATCCGGTCTTCAGTCTCTCACCATCTCCTGTATCCAGTCCGCAGTCTGCGACCTTCTCCTATATCCTGTCCGTAGTCTCTGGCCGTCTCCTGTAGTATGTCTGCAGTCTCTGAACTTCTCCTGTATCCTGTCCACATTTTCTGACCTTTTCTTTTAGCCTGTCGGCAGTCTCTGACCGTCTCCTGTATCCTGTCTGCAGACTCAGTCCTTCTCCTATAGTGTGTTTGCAGTCCCTGACCTTCTCTTGTATCATGTCTGCAGTCCCTGACCTTCTCCTGTACCTGTCTGCAGTCTCTGACCTGCTCCTGTATCCTGTGCGCAGTCACTGACCTTCTCCTGTATTCTGTCTTCTCTTTCTGACCACCTCCTGTAGTATATCCGCATTATCTTACCAACACCTGTATCCTGTTGGCAGTTTCTGACCATCTCCTATATCTCCTATATCCTGTCCTGTATTGTCTGCAGTCTCTGGCTTTCTCCTGTATCATGTCTGCAGTCTCTGACCATCTTCTTTAGTAGGCCTGCAGTCTCTGACCTTCTCCTGTATCCTGTCTGCAGTCTCTGACCTTCTCCTGTATCCTGTCTGCAGTCTCTCACCATCTCCTGTATCCTGTCCACAGTCTTTGACCTTCTCCTGTCCTCAGTTTCTGACCATCTCCTGTAGTATGTCTGTAGTCTCTGACCAATGCCTGTATCCTGTCTGCAGTTTCTGACCATTTCCTGTATCCTGTGTGCAGTCGCTGACCTTCTCCTATATCCTGTCCGTAGTCTCTGACCTTCTCCTGTATGCAGTCGCTGACCTTCTCCTGTATCCTGTCCGCAGTCTCTGACCATCTCCTGTATCCTGTGTGCAGTCTCTGACCTTCTCCTGTATGCAGTCTCTGACCATCTCCTGTAGTATGTCTGCAGTCTCTGACCGTCTCTCGGATCCTGTCCACAGTCTTTGACCTTCTGTATCCTGTCTGCGGTCCCTGACTTTTTCCTTTATCCTGTCGGCAATCTCTGACCTTTTCCTTTATCCTGTCCGCAGTCTCTGACCATCTCCTGTATCCTGTGTGCAGTCTCTGACCTTCTCCTGTATGCAGTCTCTGACCATCTCCTGTAGTATGTCTGCAGTCTCTGACCGTCTCTCGGATCCTGTCCACAGTCTTTGACCTTCTGTATCCTGTCTGCGGTCCCTGACTTTTTCCTTTATCCTGTCGGCAATCTCTGACCTTTTCCTTTATCCTGTCCGCAGTCTCTGACCTTCTCCTGTAGTGTGTACGGAGACAACAATTTCTTGCAATTTGCAGTGTGATTTCCATTATATGCATTCTATGTCTGTGAAATTGCAACAAAACTGCAGAAAAAAAGTAATGCAAGAACTACTTTAGAAACTGCGCTGCAGCAAATCGCACATGTAAAGACACTGACATTCAGCCTGGGTTCACACTTGTGCGGTGCAGCATACCGCATGTGATTCGCACAAGAACCGCACCACATTCCTGTGCAAATCTGAATTTGAATTCTGTGCGGTGTGATTTGAGCCGTACATTTTGTATGGCTCAAAACGCACAGCATTCGCACCAAAAAGGTGCAGGACCCTTTTTTGATCCGCACTAGAATCGGATTGCATCGGTATTCACACCTATGCAATCCGATGCTGCACATCACACCACATTTTGCGAACTGATTTTGGGCTGTTGTTAACTTAAAATACACACCCGCAGTGGTTCGTGTGAACGGGGTGCGATTATGATGCGCTGCGGAAATCACACGGAAACTGTTGCAAATTTTGCACCGCATCAGTGTGAACCTGGGCTCACTTTCATTAGATGCAATTTCAGGTGTGGTTTCAATTCCCAAATCACACCTGAAATCGCAATGCTGTGATCGGGCACTTAGGGACGGTTCATACCATAAAAACGCAGTCCGGATGCGTTCCAAACGTGTTTCTGTATGCACGTTTTTGATGCGTCTGTGACATGTTTTTGCTGTATTCCGGTGCATTTTTGTTGCATTTTTTATGCATTCCAGTTAATTTTTTCCCCTCTCTTTCATCAACTTAAATAGGGACATGTGCATTCCAGTGCATTTAGGTGCGTTTATGGTGCATTTTGTATGCGTTTTACTACTTTCCAGTACAGTTCAATGCAGAAAGAAATGCAACATATTCTACTTTTGTTTCTGGAGCTGGAACGCACTAGTGTGAACTATGACATTAAAACCATGTAACCTACTATCTATGCATTTTGGTGCAGAAAAAATGCACTGGACTGCATGTGGTGTGAACTGGCCCTAAGGCCCTGTTCACGCCATAAAAACACAGTCTGGATGTGTGCCAGATGCATTTCTGTATGTGCATTTTTGATGCGTTCTGTTGCATTTTTTATGCATTCCAGTTGATTTTTCCCCCCAAATCAAAAAGGACATGTGCATTCCAGTGCATTTTTGGTGCATTTAGGTGCATTCCAGTGCATTTGTGGTGCGTTTTTGATGTGTTTTACTGCATTCCAGTACAGTTCAGTGCAGAAAAAATGCAGCATGCTCTACTTTTTTTTCTGTAACTGGAACGCACTGGAACTGACTGCACTGGTGTGAACTATGTCATTGGAAACCATGTAACCTACTATCCATGTAAAAAAAAAAAAAAAATACACTGGACTGCATGTGGTGTGAACTGGCCCTAAACGTTCATGTGTGCATGGAGACATAGGCTAGCATGCAGAAAGATTTAGAGATAAAAAGTAAAAAAATGCCAGATGGCTAGGAGCAGCTATAAAAACATCCAGTGTGTATGAGGCCTCACATGTACCCTTGCAATTCTCTTTATGCTACGTGTACTATTTGATTGTAATCCAGGTTGTAGATAAGTAGAAAAACTTAGATACAATATACAGCGCCTTGAAAAAGTATTCATACCCCTTGAAATGTTCCCCATGTTACAACCAAAAACGTGAATGTATTTTATTGGGATTTGATGTGATAGACCAACGCAAAGTGGCACATAATTGCAAAGTGGAAGGAAAATGATAAATGGTTTTCGAACTTTTTTACAAATAAATATCTGAAAAGTGTGGCGGCATTGGTATTCAGCCCCCTGTACTTCGATACCCCTAACTAAAATCTAGTGGAACCAATTGCCTTCAGAAGTCACCTAATTAGCAAATAGAGTCCCCCTGTGTGTCATGTGATCTCAGTATAAATACAGCTGTTCTGCGAAGCCCGCAGAGGTTTGTTAGAGAACATTAGTGAACAAACAGCATCATGAAGGTCAAGGAACACACCAGACAGGTCAGGGATAAAGTTGTGGAGAAGTTTGAAGCAGGGTTAGGTTATAAAAAAAATATCCAAGCTTTGAACATCTCACAGAGCACTGTACAACCCATCATCCGAAAATGGAAAGAGTACGGTACAGCTGCAAACCTACCAAGACATGGCCGTCCACCTAAACTGACAAGCCGGGCAAGGAGAGCATTCATCAGAGAAGCAGCCAAGATGCTCATGGGAACTCTGGAGGAGCTGCAGAGATCCACAGCTCAGGAGGGAGAATCAGGACAACTATTAGTCGTGCACTCCACAAATCTGGCCTTTATGGAAGAGTGGCAAGAAGAAAACCATTGTTGGAAAAAAGCCATAAGAAGTCCTGTTTGCAATTTGTGAGAAGCCATGTGGGGGGGGGGGGGGGGGGGGGGGGGCAGCAAACATGTGGAAAAAGGGGCTCTGGAATTTTTTGAGACCAAAATTGATCTTTTTGGCCTAAAAGCAAAATGCTATGTGTGGTGGAAAGCTAACACTGCACATCACCCTGAACACACCATCCCCACTGTGAAACATGGTGGTGGCAGCATCATGTTGTGGGTATGTTTTCTTCAGCAGGGACAGGGAAGCTGGTCAGAGTTGATAGGAAGACGGATAGAGCCAAATACAGGGCAATCTTAGAAGAAAACCTGTTGAAGTCTGAAAAAGACTTGAGACTGGGGCGGAGGTTCAACATCCAGCCAGAGCTACAATGGAATGGTTTAGATCAAAGCATATTCATATGTTAGAACGGCCCAGTCACAGTCCAGACCTCAATCCAATGGAGATTCTGTGACAAGACTTGAAAATTGCTGCTCACAGATGCTTGCCATCCAATCTGACAGAGCTTGAGCTATTCTGCAAAGAAGAATGGGCAGAAATGTCCCTCTCTAGATGTGCAAAGCTGGGAGAGACATCCCCAAAAATACTTGCAGCTGGAATTGCAGGGAAAGGGGGTCCTACAAAGTATTGACTCCGGGGGGCTGAATACAAATGCCGACACACTTTTCACAGATTTATTTGTAACAAATGTTGAAAACCATTTCTCATTTTCCTTCCACTTCACAATTATGTGCCACTTTGTGTTGGTCTATCACATCCAATCCCAATAAAATACATTGACGTTTTTGGTTGTAACATGACAAAATGTTGAACATTTCAAGGGGTATGAATACTTTATCAAGGCACTGTATACTCCAAAAAATATAGACTGAAAACCCCCAAACCGGTAAAGTTGCTCTCTGAATACACAGTTTTTTTTATTTATAAGATATAATTTAGGCTTATTTTAGGCTTTCTGGTATTCTTTATATTAAACACAACGCATTGGCCATCACATCTGATTTCTTTATTATAGTATCATTTAATTAAAACAGCTTTTTTTTTAATTAAATACAATCACATTCATCATTTTATTTCAAAAGCAATCTTAGCGTTCTTCTTCATTTTTTTTTTCTAATTCTGTACAGCATCTGTATTTGACGTCATTCAGGGCCGTGTCGTCTAAGTCACCTCCTTGGGCAGGCTGCACTTTGGTTTCCATGCCACAAATTCCAAGTGTGCAGGGGTCACTCCACTCTCCCCATGTTCCCCATGGTCCACCAGCACCTATCAGGATACTGTCATCCGAGCATTGGAACATGATATTGTTGGCTGCAGTATCGTCTTCGTCACCAGGAAGGGGTTCCTCAACTTGCAGAAGGAATTTAACAAGATACCCTGAGGGGCACCACTGTACACCAGTCCAACTTCCCCACCTGTAGTGAAAAGCAAAAATGTATATCATCTCATTGCTGATTTATGGAGGTCTGCTTACTTTACTCTGCAGCAATGCTAGGCAATTGGCTTTAGGTTAGATTTGGACTTCGATCATACTCTTAGATGCTTGCAGCCACTGTTTGTGTAACCCATTGAAATGTTATTGCTTGTTGGTGGTCCGCCATTTAGGATCACTCACATGGACAGAACAGCCCTGTGGAACTTGCTGAATAGCAGGGCTGGTGAGCAGAGGAGTCAGGGACTGCATTTCCCAGGAAGGTATTAGAAAATAAAATCACAATACAAGGTGGGGTGCCCTTATAAATTAGCTCTCCAGTTCACCCTAGAGTGTGGGGGCTGACCCTGAGAAACTAAACCAAAAAAGTAGCACAGACTGCCATAAAGAAGGTATTGAGTCACCCATGTAGAGTAGCTATTGGGAAATTATACAAAACTTTATTAATAATAATCGATAAGACAATTAAAAAAAAAACCTAATGGAAAGTAGGCTTTAAACCAGACACCTTCCATGATTGAACACACACATATATTAGCCCAATAAAACAATTAAAAAAACAATCCGGATTGTTATGCCCTAATTGGTGTTGTTATGAACCACCTAGCGGGGCCTCTTGCAATCCACAGGACAGGATTCCCCAGGGCGCGGAGTCTAAGCCCCAGTCTGCTTGTTCACCAGGGCCCCTGATGGTGGGGATGGGCTTGGGGCAGACAAGGACCAGGTCGCGACTAATTGGAGAGAGGGGGAGAAAGAGAAAGGGAAGAGAGAGAGGGGGAAGAGAGAGAGAAGAGAAAGAAAGAGAGAGAGAGAATCATATATACATACACACACCTATTGAACTCTCTCGCTCTCTCATTGGGGAGGAGGGCGCAAAATTTTTGTGTTGTCTAGGGCAGCACAAAATCTAAACACACTACTGATAATATGGACTTATTAAGGTCTACAGTATGTATACTAGAATTACCGCTCTACATTAATCTTACAGTTAGTGGATTTATGAGCTTATAATTGCAATTTACGCTAAAAGCCGTCTGGAAGCTGTTTTAATGAATGTTTATGATCTCCACCTTAAACTGTCTCCCTGCTCCGCATTGACATTCTGCAAACTTAGGGTAAATTCTGCTGTGTGATCTCCACTTCAAACTGTCTCCCTGCTCCCGTACTGACTTTATGCAAAACTCAGGATAATTAGTCTATATCTTTTTGTCTGTCTGTGGTGATTGATTCTCACCTCCTTTTGCCTTTCTGTGATCAGAGAATCAATCATCTTTTATGACCCTGGCCTGTGTGTGCAACTGATCTGGTTTTGACCAACCTACCCCCAATTTCAGTGTAGTGGAGATGCCCTCACAATCTTGTTTTTGAAATGATTTGCAATCTCCTAAGCAGTGAGTGAGTTACTGGGTGGAGGTGGAGGTGGAGAGGTTCTTCCGGGAAGGGGGGGGGGCGTTGCCGCCCCCTAAAAATTGCCGCCCTGGGCAAATGCCTTGTTTGCCTCGTGGAGGATACACCCCTGCATATTATGGATAACCCAGACAGTGAGCAGATATGCAGTTCATTTAGCAGATAGAAGCTTCAGCTAACATCTGGGGTGATCAAAGTGTGTGCTGTGTGTTTTACTAGGAAGACATGCTGTCAGGAGAGAGACCTGTGTTGTTTACACACAGATTTCTCTCCTCAGATTTAGTGGCAATCACCAAGTGTCGAATAAGATTTGCCAGCTGGAACCCGGTGATTGACATCCACTGCAACCAATGGCAGTGGAAATAGGGCAGCGCATGTGCGCCCCCTACCCAGAACTGCAAAATCATGTATATATACATGATTATGTAAGGAATGTTAGTATATGAAGCAAGGAAACCATTGCAGGAGAGAAAGAGAGGAACTTAGTTGGCAGTAGTTATACAGAGATATCATGCAGGTCCCATACGGACATATTGAGCACTTATGGCTACCGTCTCCAAACTCCAACATGTGTTCAATCGAACAAACTGATCGAACATGGGGACACACCGCCGGATGTTGTTTCCGGAGGTGATGACATCATTTTGTTGATGTGTTTCGTCCGCCAATCATTTGCACACCACACACTTTTCACAGATTTATTTGTAAAATTTTGAAAAACATTTCTCATTTTTCTTCCACTTCACAATTATGTGCCAATTTGTGTTACATAGTTAGTCTGGCTGAAAAAAGACAAAAGTCCATCCAGTTCAACCATAGAAAAAAAAAAAGTTATAATCCTATACCCACAGTTGATCCAGAGGAAGGCAAAAAAACCCCCAGCAAAGCATGATCCAATTTGCTACTGCTGGGAAAAAAATTCCTTCCTGATCCCCCGAGAGGCAATCGGATATTCCCTGAATCAACTTTACCTATAAATGTTATATCCAGTTATATTCTGTGTATCCAAGAAAGAATCCAGGACTTTTATGAAGAAATCCACTGAGCTGGCCAGAACCAACTCTTGAGGGAGTCTATTCCACGTTTTCACAGCTCTCACTGTGAAGAAACCTTTCTGTGTTTGGAGATTAAATTTCTTTTCCTCCAGACGTAAAGAGTGCCCCCTTGTCCTCTGTGATGACCTCAGGGAGAATAACTACACCGAGTTCACTATATGAACCACTGATGTATTATACATGGTGATCATATCCCCCCTTATGTATTATACATGGAGATCATATCCCCCCTTATGTATTATACATGGAGATCATATCCCCCCTTATGTATTATACATGGAGATCATATCCCCCCTTATGTATTATACATGGAGATCATATCCCCCCTTATGTATTATACATGGAGATCATATCCCCCCCTTATGTATTATACATGGAGATCATATCCCCCCCTTATGTATTATACATGGAGATCATATCCCCCCTTATGTATTATACATGGAGATCATATCCCCCCTTATGTATTATACATGGAGATCATATCCCCCCTTATGTATTATACATGGAGGTCATATCCCCCCTTATGTATTATACATGAAGATCATATCCCCCCTTATGTATTATACATGGTGATCATATCCCCCTTATGTATTATACATGGAGATCATATCCCCCCTTATGTATTATACATGGAGATCATATCCCCCTTATGTATTATACATGGAGATCATATCCCCCCTTATGTATTATACATGGAGATCATATCCCCCTTATGTATTATACATGGAGAACATATCCCCCCTTATGTATTATACATGGAGATCATATCCCCCCTTATGTATTATACATGGAGATCATATCCCCCCTTATGTATTATACATGGAGATCATATCCCCCCTTATGTATTATACATGGTGATCATATCCCCCCTTATGTATTATACATGGAGATCATATCCCCCCTTATGTATTATACATGGAGATCATATCCCCCCTTATGTATTATACATGGAGATCATATCCCCCCTTATGTATTATACATGGAGATCATATCCCCCCCTTATGTATTATACATGGTGATCATATCCCCCCTTATGTATTATACATGGAGATCATATCTCCCCTTATGTATTATACATGGAGATCATATCCCCTCTTATGTATTATACATGGAGATCATATCCCCCCCTTATGTATTATACATGGAGATCATACCCCCCTTATGTATTATACATGGAGATCATATCCCCCCTTATGTATTATACATGGTGATCATATCCCCTTATGTATTATACATGGAGATCATATCCCCCCTTATGTATTATACATGGAGATCATATCCCCCTTATATATTATACATGGAGATCATATCCCCCTTATGTATTATACATGGAGATCATATCCCCCCTTATGTATTATACATGGAGATCATATCCCCCTTAATCTCCTCTTCTCAAGAGAGAATAAATTTAGTTCCTCTAATCTTTCCTCATAGCTGAGCTCCTCCATGCCTTGTATCAGTTTGGTTGCCCTTCTCTGTACTTTCTCCAGTTCCCCAATGTTCTTTTTGTGAATTGGTGCCCAAAAACTGAACTGCATATTCCAGATGAGGTATTACTAATGATTTGTACCGGGGAAATTATATCTCTCTCTCTGGAGTCTATACCTCTTTTAATACAAGAGAGGATTTTGCTCGCTTTAGAAGTCACAGCTTGGCATTGCATGCCATTATTAAGCTTGTGATCTACCAGAACTCCCCCGCAGATCCTTCTCCCCCAGTTGTACCCCCCCTAGGATGTACGATGCATGCATATTCTTAGCCCCCAAGTGCAGAACCTTACATTTATCAACATTAAACCTCATTTGCCACATAGTTGCCCAATTACACAGAGCATTGAGGTCATCTTGTAAGTCGGAGACATCCTTTAAGGACATTATTCCACGGCACAGCTTGGTGTCATCTGCAAAGACTGAAATGGGATTTTTAATATCAGACCCTATATCTTTTATAAATATATTACAAAGTAGGGGCCCAACACTGAACCTTGGGGTACACCACTGATGACCCCAGACCATTCTGAGTATGAATCATTAACCACTACGCTCTGAATACAATCTTTTAGCCAGTTTTCTATACATTTACATACAGATTTTTCCAAGCCCGTAGACTTTACCTTACACATTAGCCGTGTGTGGGGAACTGTGTCAAACGCTTTTGCAAAATCCAAGTATAACACATCCACCGCCACCTCTCTGTCCAAGTATTCCACGTCCACCATCACCCCTCTGTCCAAGGTTTTGCTCACCCCCTCAGAAAAAGAAATCAGATTTGTTTGACAACTTCTGTCTTTCATGAATCCATGCTGTCTGTTGCTTAAAATATTTTTTTCCAGCAAGAACTCATCTATGTGGTCTTTTATTAAACTCTCCAGTATCTTCCCAACTATAGAAGTTAAACTAACAGGTCTGTAATTACTTGGTAAAGATTTTGACCTCCTTTTAAATATTGGCCCCACATTGGCCTTACGCCAATCCAGTGGTACTATGCCAGTCATTAAAGAGTCCCTAAAAATTAGAAACAATGGCTTTGAAATGACAGGGCTCAATTCTT